TTAATAGATTGAAAAAACAATTGGGTATAAATGGATTCTTAAATTTAAATCAAAAGGATTCATAGATAAATATAAAATTAGACTAGTGGTTAAGGGATAGACACAAAAGGAAGAAATAGATTATGATGAAACATATTCTCCCGTAGCTAAGTTTACTTCAATAAGAATATTTTTGTTGTTGGTTGTATACTTACACCTAGAGTTACATCAAATGGACGTTAAGACTATTTTTTTTAATAGTGAACTTAAAGAAGAAATTTATATGTATCAATCGCAAAAATACAAAGTTAAAGATGAAAAAGATAAGGTGTACAAATTGAATAAGTCCTTATATGGCTTAAACAATCCAAGGCAATGATATCATACTTTTTCATAATACAATTATATCTTATAGTTTTGTTCCAAATAACTATGATTATTGTATATATACATGGAATAGTGAGGGTTATTATATTATTCTTTTCTTGTATGTGGATGATATTTTATTTGCCAGAAAATGATATAAGCAGAATTTTAGAACTAAAAGATTGGTTAAACACCAAGTTTAAATAAAAGATATGGGTGAAACATATCATGTGCATGAAATTAAAATTTCTAGAGATAGAAAATAAAGAAAATTGAGTTTATCTCAAAAATCTTATTTGGAAAATATTTTAAATAAATTCAAAATAGTTTTTTGTAAACCTATTGAATCACCATCGTCCCAGCGGAGCGATTAAAAGCGTCTTTGGAACGAATTCCTTTGAAGTAGTTAGTGCTCTAATTGAGCGAGCCGTGGATCATAAATGATGAGCGTAGCTTAATTTAGCTGATCTCACACCGAACTATAAATAAAGATGTGAGTGGCTCTTTATAGAGACTTAGCCCAATGGCTACCACCGGAAGTGCGCTAAGTTAGTCACAGGGAAACTTCCAAGTTCTTTCTAACCTTCGACTCTATAAACTTGGATGGCTTGCTTGCTTGTTTAGCTTGCCCCCTCTTTGAATGTGTACAGTTCGAGCAAGCAAATGGCTAGCAGGGCCGAGGAACCACAATGAACGGGACGACAGAAGTTCCACAAGAAGATGACCAGATATATATGTTATTCTTCGTGCATGCAGGTCTGGTTCCTGATAAAACATATATCTATTAGCGAGTTTCGCCGTACAATATATAACCCGGAACTGGCTTAAATTAATGAATTACCACGGTTTGCCGCCGGCTAATAGGGCGAGCAGCGTAATGGAGTCCCGGGACGGACGACGTGAGTGAGAACCCAGACCATAGCGGGTTTAGAGACTTCTCTCTCGGCTTTAACGGCGACGAAAACGTTCTCCGAGAGGCTTTCCTTTCTGCTTTACTGTGGTTTACCCATAACCATCAGCGGCAAGGGTTACGGAAGAGGCCAAACCAAACCAACCCAGGTATATCACAAATAGATAGGGTTGGAGCAGCAGATCCTATAGAAACAAAGACAAAGCCCGAGGCAGATCCAGACGCTCTCCTAGGCGATGATCTCGTTCGTTCTAGGAAATGAGAGGTCTAGCTAGTCGTCTTCCCTAGAGAGTTGGCTGGTTCAAGATAGACCCCCGATTGGATCAGCCCTCGTTCTCACAAGAATGGTCTGCCCCAGCGGAAAGCGCCTCCACTTCAGCGAGCAAGTTGCATTCCACATGGACATTGGAAGTCGATGAAGTCGGTCTCTGTCTTCTCATCCAAGATGACTCAAAAGGAGGAGGGGAAGGCTCAGAAAGAGGGTCTTACTAAGCAAGAGGGTAGCGGGCAAAACAGGGCTTTTCTTTCACTCCAGTTGGCTGATGGGAGTGCGAAGAAGAGCGCTTGCTCTCCTTTCCCTCCATTTGGACAGTGAGTTCTCCTTCCGCTTTGCAATCGGTGGAGGTTGTACATGGGTAGCCTGAGCACCGATCCTGATTGACGAATGCTTTCTTGCTGCTCCCCCTATTATATAACCGTGTTGATCTACCACGCTGCTTTGAACGTCCCTGAATAAGCGCATCCTTTGCTGCCATAGAGCGAAAGACAAGGGCACAGAACACTGGAAGAGATGGCTAAGCTCAAACTCCAAAGGAAGCAAATCAAAGAGAAAGGGAGGAAGAATGCAAGCAACGGATATAAGCGTCCTAGCGTAGCGCGAAAGGACTGTACGCGCATAAGGACTATATTGGGCGGTGAGAGAGACTCTCGACCCAAAATGAAGACTTTTGTTTCTCTAACTCAAAGCGGCATACCGCGTTTCATCCCTCCCCACTATAGAAAGATAATACGGAGAGGTGATGACCCGAGAGTCATTCGCGTAGTGCTGTCTATTTGCGCACTTTCACGTC